TAGCGGATACTTTAAATATTAATCTTAACAAATATCTCCAAAATTCAAATAATGGCATCATTTAATGCCCTTCCAAAGCGATTGATGGCAGCCGCCATCTGTTGGAAAAAAGSAAGATTTTGGGTGGGTTTAACACCTTTCCCAAGAACAATTAAAACCTCTAGTCGCACACCTCCCCAAATCCGGTTGCATGCCCAAGAGTGGTAGCAAATTAGAATGGTTTCGACTCTACATTTCCWGGAATAGAGACAGATAARCCCCAAATTSTCATTTCTTGAGTAAGATCCAGAAAGGAAAAGAAAATAATTAGGAATTTTTGGGTCTAGGAAAGCTACAAGATGAAAGATTTGATTTAGTGATGCATGCGAGACCCAAGTTACCCGAAGGTGCAATCGGCTCCTAGAATATAAGAGCTATCTTCTTCTCTTTTGGGATTAATAAGGTTTATGGGTCACAGATTATCATCTGATGAAGACATATGCATGTCTTTGATGGATAATCTCATCATTTTTAAATTCTGAAACTTGAGTTGAGCAAGAAGAGAAAATAGGAATTTGAACATTTTAAAGAGGTACTAATGACTTTAGGAGCATACCTTTTTGAAAGAACAATTTGAATACCGCAGCGATCTTAACTTGCAGGGAGAAGAGTTCGGCTCAAAGGTGATGAACTTTTTAGAGAGGGAGAACGAGAAAAGGCTAAAGCTTTTAGAATAAAGAAGAGTTTTCAAAAGGGAAGGTGTATTTATATGAGGCTTCTAGAAGAGTAGTGGGCTGGCCTCTAAAGGCCCAAGCCCAAGGACTTATACATTTTCTTAATATAAGACCCAAAAATCTAAAATAACCAAAGTGTCCAAATCTAAAAAAAATAAGACCAGCTGTCGTACTGAAATAATCAAGTATGGGCAACCTGCGTCTCAGAAAGAAGACAACAGAGCCTCTGTGAAGAAAATACGCCAGAGTTTCTGTGAAGAAACACAGAGTCTCTGTGAAGAGAAGACTTCGGGGCTTCTGTGAAGAAACACAGAGTCTCTGTGAAGAGAAGACGCCAGCGCTTCTGTGAAGAGACACAGGGTCTCTGTGAAGAGAAGACACCAGGGCTTCTGTGAAGAAACACAGAGTCTCTGTGAAAAGGCAACAGAGCCTCTGTAGATAGTACCAGAGCCTCTGTGTCTGCCACCAAAGCCTCTGTGGCTATCATCAGAGCCTCTGTGGCTGACGCCAGAGCCTCTGATTGAATAGGCGACCTCTTCAAGATCATACTCTGAATAAGGTTAATCGTAAAAGACTTAGTTTTTCTAATGAAGATTCCGAAATAAGGTCCTAACCTGGAAACCCAAAAGTGCAGAGTTGTTACAGCCTCCCCAACTTAGAAAAATTTTGTCCCGAAATTTAATCGTCTACGCTTCAATTCATGGTTGGCTTGAGAAGAGGTGGGGATACTTGTTCTTCATGAAGTTTTCCTTTTCCCACGTATACTCCGGTCCATTCTTGGAACTCCAACGGACCTTCACAATGGGTATTCTACTATGTCTCAGCTGCTTAACTTTTCTATCCAAAATCTCTAAGGGTTTTTCAACATAATGCAGTTGATCAAAAACTTGCAAGTCTTCCAGGGGTAAAACCTGGGTTTCATCWGATAGGCATCTCTTGAGATTCGATACGTGGAATGTATTGTGGATAGCGCTTAACTCTTGGGGCAGATTTAACTTATATGCTACTGGTCCAATTCTTTCTATTATTTCAAAAGGACCAATATAGTGAGGGCCCAACTTGCCTTTCTTTCCAAAATGCATAACTCCCTTCCGAGGCGAGACCTTTAGAAAAACTTTATCACCTTTCTGAAATTCTAAAGGCTTCCTCCGATTGTCAGCATAGCTTTTCTGTCAATCCCTAGCAGCGTTGAGTCGATCCTTGATTACCACGACCTTATCGGTGGTTTCTTGGATAATATCAGGTCCAGTTAATTGTTTATCACCAATTTCTGCCTAACATAATGGGGATCTGCATTTGCGCCCATATAAGGCTTCATAAGACGCATATTGAATGCTAGTATGGTAACTGTTGTTGTAAGCAAATTCCATTAAAGGAAGATGCGTGTCCCAACTTCCACCAAATTCCAAAACACAGGCCCGTAACATGTCTTCTAGAGTCTGTATGGTTCTCTGGGTTTGTCCATCTGTTTGGGGATGATAAGAAGTGCTCAAGTCTAGACGAGTACCCATTCCTTGCTGAAGCGATTGCCAAAATCTTGATGTAAAGCGACTGTCTCTATCCGATAGGATAGAAATAGGCACTCCATGCCAAGCGACAATTTCACTTATATAAATCTGAGCTAGCTTCTCCATCTTATAGTCCTCCCTGATTGGCAAAAAGTGAGTAGATTTTGTTAAACGATCCACAATCACCCAAATGGCATCATGCCCTTTTCCTGATCGGGGCAGCTTAGTTACAAAGTCCATTGATATTTGCTCCCATTTCCATTGAGGAATTTCGGGCTGCTGGAGCAGACCAGAAGGTTTCTGATGTTCGGCCTTAATTATTGCACAAGTTACGCACTTATTTACATATAGTGCAATCTCTTTCTTCATTCTAGGCCACCAGTAATATGCCTTTAAATCCTTATACATTTTGTCTGCTCCYGGGTGTATTGAATACTTTGATCGATGAACTTCGTCCAAAATAATTGATCTAAGATTGCCAATCTTAGGCACCCAAATTCTATTTCTCAAATAACACACTCCATCAGACTCCAT